CTGCGAGTTGCCTCCCGTAATCTCGCTATGTGGACGAGAAAACCTCCATAACCCGAGTTCAAGTCAAGATTGAGATGATGTCCAACTTTGCGTCGCGCCTCCTGCATTGTGAAGCGATGGCATCCATGAGGTGCTCAAAAACTGGCAAGGACCCCGCAGTAACATTGCTGTACAATTTTGATCTTACACGCCTCTCTATAAAAAGAAAGCCTATTTGAAAAATGTGACAGAACTTTCCCGCCAACCTAATAGTTATATGGTACGCCTTGCGACAACACGGTGTCTCTGAAGCTAGTCGAGTGGGTCTACATAGTTTATTCGAAGCCAGAGAGCCAAGTGCGGACTCTTGCAGGCACCTCGATGGAGTTTCCCATCACCGTTGGGGTACACCAAGGCTCCGCTCTCTCCCCACTCCTTTTTGTTGTCGTCATGGATGCCATCACACGAGACCTTCAGAAGGAAGTTCCTTGGACGCTCCTTTACGCTGATGATGTGATGCTTGCATGCGAAGACAAGAGCACGCTAGAGCAGCAAGTGCAAGCTTGGGCTGATCGCCTGGTAATTTCGGGTACAGGTTAATCGTGAATGACCGAGTACTTAACAACCGACCCAGCCGAGAGCCGAGAGCGGCTAAAGTCAAGGATCTACAGAAGTGTCGTCGACCTCGCCCTATATGGCGCCGAGTGCTGGCCCGCTACCAAAGAAGTCGAAGCCCGTCTAAGTGTGATGGAGACGAGGATGTTGCGTTGGACTGCGGGTGTCACGCGTTTGGACCGCATTTGTAACGAAGTAATACGCAAGAAGTTCGGCGTAGCTCCTATAGCTGACAAAATGCGAGAAACGCGCCTTCGATGGTACGGCCATGTACTTCGCGCAAAGGCTGACACCGTCTGTAGGACTGGCCTTCAGGAGATGCCCGGAAAGCGACCTAGGGGACGTCCCAGACAGCGCTGGCTCGATACGTTGCATACAGACTTGAAAATAGCTGGAATTCACCCCGATCAGGCATTTGATCGGGAAAAGTGGCGTCATCACATTAGAAGAGCGGACCCTGCCGCTGAGCGGGACAAACGCTAAAGAAGAAGAAGTAGAATATTATTATGTTTTGCATGCTTGCATGCATACTACTACTTTCTTCTATGTTTGTGGTGTTGTTTCCTTGCTTCATGTATCTAGCGTGCGTAGAGCAAAAATTAGAAATGAAACCAGTTCTCAATGGTCACTATACCACTAATTATCATCACTCATAACTTCATACACTTGTTTCCACTCAACCAGTTATTAGCTGTTGTAACCCCTATCCACCGTTACTTCGAGGCACACAATAACTCGTTCGGCTACCATCATAACCACCCTCATCGGTTTTTATCAGTTGTTCTCACTTCTTGTCACCCGCCATCAATGTTCCGTCACACGCTCTACATCACTTGGTGAACAACATCATTGTTAGAAACCTTTATCTTGAGTGGTGCGTTCCGTGTGATTTGATTATTTTCTCGATTTGCTCGTAATTAGATACTCTCCCGATCTTTTTTTTTTGAATCGAACACTGTCGACTACTATTCATTACTATGTGTTTTCAAGTTGTCCATACGGCATCGCCGTACTCTGCTGGAACTTTATTCATTTTACCCTGGAACTTCTATCGGCACCGTCCATTGCGGACGGTCGATTCATTCGATCTTGGACAACACCTCCTGATCTGCGCATTTTCTGTAGCTGGGGATATTTCTTTTTAATTAAGTCGCAGTCTCAGGTATTCTACGCTTATTGTGTTTGTTCCGTGCAATGGACTTGGAATGGTGAGAAGCACAGGATAGATTTGTCCAGCCCTGTCTTCGAAGTGTACCTTGGCGACACGATTGATGTCGTCATTACCGTTCACTGCCGGTCAAACTAAAGACAGCCAGTGCTTGCTTAGAATGAAAGATCCGATTGGCATTGTTCTCGCGAAAGAAGGAAACTTTTCGACGAGAATAATACCTTTTGCCGGATGCATTTTCTCAATTTCTTTCACCAAGTGTTGCTTAACTTGTGAATTTCCCTTCTGAGGACAACGACTCCAGCCGCAAATGCTCCATAGTCGTCATTGTAGTAAAGGAGAGCATTGCTCTTATTCATTTACATGATGCATGTACATGATAACACGACATTTCCTGATCAGGCAAACGCTCGAAAATTTTTTCTGTTGAACGGCTATTGCCATGTATAAGATGGAGCGCTACTTTCCAAATAATCCTATAGGTTGTTTCTCCATCTTTTTTGCTTCCTCGATACTTAAAAGATTACCGCAACATAGGCAATCATGATGAATGTAGTTTCATCAGGCCCTCACTATCAGGCCTGAGAACGTCTTGAAACTGGAACGTATCCTATTTCCAGTACATCCACTTCTCTGCATGCTCTCACAGAACTCACGATGTATCTTCAAGTGTTGATGAACATTGCTCCTTATACTTGAGATCAAACTTCGGAACAGATTGTTTCCTAAATAATGTGTGTAACAAATTACTGTCGCCCAAAAACATGAGAATCCTCCTTTGTTCACTAATACAGTACTAATACAAATACTGGTTCTATTGTTCCTGTAGGATTTGTAGAATCTCAGGCATCTCATCTGTCAATCTCCATGTTTGAAATCGATTTTATCCTTTAAATATCCCATCCCATATAGCCGTTGATCTGGTGTCAAATCCCTAGTGGCAAATATCTAATTTCTTGCTCAAAACCTCCATTTTCTTAGGTTTCTGCTCTTTCCAAATTTGTTAAGGTACTGTTGTTCTTCCGGAAACGTGTGAGTTCTACCATGTACCATGTTGGCTTGGAGTGTTAGGCACTTGTCATGAAAAAATTAGGCGCGGAAACACAAGAGTGGTGGTGTGCGCATACTGGAAGCGCGTTCCTCATGTCGTGTTTTGATTTTCCAGAAGCCGTTCCGATGTGTATAAAATGGTTACCGTAGATTCATACGTAATGAAGACGAGCAAGTGACTTCGTGCCATAAGGCCCCCATTCGCCCCCGTGATCAGTGTGATATGATGACTCGATGTATAGGTACCTTTGTGCTGATGCACATGTTTGTCTTATTGTCTGGTACTTTAATTTCCCTAACACCCAAAATTGGAGCATGCTAGTCTTGCAGTCTCTCAAAAATTTCTAGGCCTATTGAGCAATAAGGTTTCACCAGTTCGTTCTAGAACTACAGGGCACAACATTTGCAGTTCCAAAAGATTTGTCACTGTCAGGGGGTCAGGATGGAACTGCCATTAGGTTGCAAGAACCATGCAATCATTGAATTCTGGATTAGGCTGCAAAGGGCTCCAAGGAAGATGGGTTTATACGAAACTTCAAGAAAGCTGATTACGCTTTAATATATATTATACGCATGTTGCCCCATTGCCAAGCGCGCTTTTTCGCTGGAAAAGTTGAATCATACAAAAAAGCCATACTCTTCATACTTTTTAGCACTGGAATTCCTATAGAATTTTAGCGGATAAGTTGAGAAAAGATGTATGCTGCCATGTCGACAAGAAAAACATTGGAAATGGTAGTACTATCCCCCCTCCTCGAGTACATCATTTCTCAAATCAATAAAGGGGAAAAAAGGATGTCCGCTTTCTTGAAACCTGGCCGGCCCACTGCAGTTTCGCATGCTGCTGAAGCGAAGCATCTTGCTGAAGTGTTTGAAAAAGCCTCCGCGAAGAATAGCGCCAAGTAGAGGAATGTGTGAGTTACACTTTTCCCCATATGTGAGACTTTGTGGTTAGACAGGAAATTTCCGGAAAATGGCGCGTAGCAACTCGCTTACGCTGGATGATGAATCTCTTTGTTTGGGAAGAAAGTTTTTCCATCTATGGTCAGAAGGTAGAAAATAACAAGATTTCATCGTCTCTGCATGAGCGGTTTCAACTCGAGCACTGGGTTTCATTCACACTTCTAGAACAGAGGAACCATAAGAAATAATATGCTCGCTATTGATTCTTTTTACATGAACGAAGAAGAAAGTGCTTTATGACCGTATTCAAAACACTAACAGGGAGATCTGCCGTAGAATCGCGGGGCACTTATTACCGTCCAACACTCGTGTTGGCAAATTCAAACACTTTTTTCATAGATCTAAGTGTGATATCAGAGCCCAGTTTTGCTTTGTATGCTTCACCTTAATTCATGATGTTTTCAAGGAGCACCGTAACACAGTATGCCCACAAGCTAAGCTTAACTAAAAAAGTGCTGCATCAACTCCTGGCTTGAAGGCTACTACCTATTAACCGCGCTCCTAATACTGCGTTGGCTTTTGACGAGGTTGGTAAGACCGCTTGCTACTTTACTTTTTTCATCAAATTTCTTCACGTGAGCTGGTTTTTACAGCCATTCATCACCATATACTCTGTGTTGCTGTTCGTTGACTTTTTGATTTGTAGTTGATTTATGTGCCTGTGTTTGATGCAATAAACAAATATACCCAACTGTTGCTGTGAATCACGTTATGGATTCGGAAGCGTTTCTTTCCCACCACTCCTTATCAGATCTTAGCTGTTACCATTTTCTGTCACCTATCATATTCCCATCACATTAGCTCCAACAGCTGAAAATTTGAACTCTCTGCGGCTAAATCGAAAGATCTTACAAATTCTCGTTCAAACACGCAGACAAAATTAGTGGATTACACATAATCTCATTATTACCATTATCAGCCATATTTTTGCGTCTGCGATTATTGTCTTTTTACCTCCAATTTGGGCCTCAGTCATTCACTGAATCTGTTACAAATTATGCGTGGCCAAGGGTTTCTACCACGAACATGACATTCTTTTCAGCGCCAGTTGAAGGTGGAGTGAAGCCTCAGCGGGAGGTAGGCTCCCTTTTTCGGTTGTGATCGTCGAATAAAGCCGCTAACTGTCGATACTACTTCTACGGAAGTAATTACTTTGTTGTCCGAGCATTGTTCGCCATTGTTCTACTTTCAGTCTTACTTGGCGCCAACGGTAATCCCTAATATCATGATTACTAACACTATCTGCCTATATGTTGACATATTTCTGTTTATCATTTGTATCCTACAAATTCTCGCCAATTTCGTGGTGCTATTTGTATGGTGCACCACAAAGCGACTGCTTCGCAACGATAACCTTATTCTACTTGTCTCTCTAGCATTCATCGATTTCGTTTATGCTGTTCTGCAGTTTCCGTATCTGGTTGTACTTATCGCTGGAGCGAAGCCTGACGGTTAGTTACTCTGTTGCTCAGGCTGATTAAACGAACTGAAGTCCATATCTACTGTTCATATTTTCCTTCCAGTTGATAGACACGTTCACCGACATCTCCCAGGCTACAAGTGTGGACCACTTTCGCGCGGAAATTTTTATGAAGAGGGAAACCAGTAGTTCCAGCGCTGGAGGGTGTGGCCCAATGCACTTCCGCTCGTGATGGTAGGACTCCCAGCCATACGCACGCACTACTTACCGCGCAGTATTGAAACAAGCGGTAACGATTCATTCCCGAGAATCTCCTACCTTGTTCTTACCTCAGAAAGAAAACTGAACAAAAATACTCCACGATTATGGATCGCGATGATTAGTGACTTCGGGCAGTTGTACTTTATGTGAATTGCTTGTGCGCTCCGCTGATGCTGGAGGAGAAAATGTTACCCCTTCCCTCGCTGGGCACAACCCTAACATAGCACCAGATGGCACCGGCGCCGGGAAATGAGTGTCATTTTCGCGACCTTGCCTCGCCAAGCAAATTTGGCGGGAGTGGTGACGACGCGAACTAGGTCGTTAAAAGGGCCAATTCGTAATCAGATTTAAAGATGGCTCATCTCATGACCAGTGCTGCTGACTACCCCAACATGTTACAGCAAATGCGAGAAATGCGCTGGAGGATAATTGTCACAGGAGCACCAGAGACAGATACATGGAATGTGATGTAAAAAATGTAACGAAAGTGGATGCCAAAGACGTGATCGCTGTGCTGAATGACAACTGGGGCAAAGTTTCAGCTTCTTTTGTTTCTACGATATTGCAGAAGCAACAAAAGGTGTTCACCTGACGGGCCTCTCGCCTCTCGCCTCTAATACTTTGACTACTAAAAAACTGTCAACACTAGACTAGTCGTAGAGCGCGGAAGATATGGAACAGCGATTAAATTTCACTCGCATACCGAACAGATTCGGGGACGACCGCTTGCTGGTGGCATTTGGACATGGCACGGAGTTGGTTGCTCGTGAAATATTCCAGTCTGGGACAACTGTCATCTTGTTCTGTGCTGGACAGAGACACGACAACAATTGTGTCAAGATGAAAATATCTCACCAGAAGCATAGACACCTTCAGGTTAAGTTGAAACATGCAGGCCACGCCTACCCGATCTCAGGGATTTCGAATATACATACATATACACACATGAACACTACATACACACAACACACATACTCATACATACACATGACTATGCACACATACATACCCACATACACACAAACACATACGCACATGCTCACACATAAACCCTTGCACGCACACATACATACACACAACACATCCCACACACATACGTATACACATAGACACTGGCGTTCAGCTTGCTATATAAGTTGCAATTCATAAATACTGTAATCCTCTTCGCGAGTTTGCTTGAGATGGTTCTAAGTTACAGGTGTCATGCTAAACTACAATCCATGGCTGATCGTGCCACTTGCCGGACCTTCGATTGCTCTGATGAAATCTGGATGCACTATCACGACTGCCATTGCCTTGGATCGGATTTTAGCGATGTACTGCCCACTACTGTACTATAGGCAATCAAAGCGATAGTAAGTCCAAAGAAGAGAATTGTTTCCAAAGTTGCAAGTTAGTGTGCAATTCCGAAGTTTCTGGAAGCAGTTCGAAAAGAAAGAGCTAATAACGCTTCTTTGCAAATTGTGTTACGCATCTTCTATTGTTTGCAATCACAATATGTAGTGCGACTTAGCCCAAAGATCAGCTAGTCGGACGGTACGCGACCAGTGATTCGACTCCGGGTAAACAACCTGAGCAACAAAACCACATGTATAGCAACGATATGTAAGATACGAAACTTCCGAGAGCTGGCAAAAGTCTCCCTTTTGAGGATACATTCTGCAACAAGCTGTTTTGTACCAACATGTCTTTCAAAAGTAGTTCAGTCTGCATCTAGAAATGTTTCGCATTCGACAACGAGTGGAATGGCAGCTGTCAATGAGCATCACTGGTAGAAGGTGTGTCACTCATATTCATTTCTGCGTGGTATGCCGTCTTCGCGGTCTGTGTCTCTGACCTCTGACTCGCGCAGGTGTTGTGGTCATTGCAATGGTCCTTGTAGTGTGTAGTGGACTTATTTACGATTCTCCAACGATTCTGTCCGTTTTTTCCTGACTGCAAAGTCAGTTCGATTCGACGGACTCAACTTGAATCCATCTGCCCACGAATAACAAAGGTATCTTCAGAGGCTTCATGATTGATGTAGGATCTTAGTTATATGGTACACCGCAGTCGCCGAGAGTGTCCCACTTTCGCCGCCCAAAGGCGAAAGACAACTGGTATTCTCGAAGTAGTATTTGGATTTCATTACGCATAAACGTTGCCTTTGAGGATCTCACAAAATCCTGTTCCCGTTCCATATATTGTTGTGCAACGTCGATTTCGCACTGATTTTGGAAATGGTACTGGTATCTCTCTTGCAGAAACTCAGTTAAAGGATTCGTCCTCTGAGATCTTCGCCTTTCTGCGGTTGACAAAACATGTAGGTTCGCGAGTGAAATACATGCGAGTCCTGTTTTTGCTTGACAAGGTCCCCTTTTTAAATCAAACTTACCACTTGTATTTTTTTTTCCGCACATACCCTCATAGGATTGAGGCCGCAACACGCGGTACGTGCAGTGAAATCTTCAAAAGAAATTTTTCGTGCACGCAGTAGGAGATGCTCATCACGCTCGTGTCACCCGGAAATTAATGTTCCAGGTTGCCAAAGTTGCTTGTGGCAGCTAGAACACGGTGAGTACTATTACGGCGTACAAGCGGAGGGCCGTCATCACTGACGTAGTCTTAGAGGTGAAAACAGACAGAGAGTGATCCCTGATCTTTTGAGCTGGTCACTTTGTGATCTCTGCTCACGTGAGACATGGGAAAGTGCATATTCATGGAATTGGTCCAGCTTAGATCTGTGAAGTACGGCTACTGTGGTTCAGCTCAGATCTGTGAAGTACGGCTACTGTATTCTGCAGTAAATATGCTCGCCGATCAAATCATTCTAGGAAAGAAATAAAATAAGTGGAAAGTGCAGAGAAACACCTCTGAAAAATGTTGACATACAAAAAACTCATGAACTTTATAGCAACCCAACAGTACAGCGAAACTCCTTCTCAGTTCTTCCGAAGAAAGGCTCCACATCAAAGAAATCCTATTTCCTTTCAGCTGGTCAATCGGAGCATTTATTTTTGCGATATTTCTTGCATTTATCGATTGGCTTATTCTACAACTAATCGTTACTATTCGTCCAGTACCTGGCTGCAGTTCATTCGGTTGCTTCACAAACGATGTACCTGCAACTTCACTTAAGCTACTGTTATGTGTACACTAATCATCTCTTAAGGTGTTCCGCGCGTATTGGGGTCTTTCCAATATGATGATGAACCTACTATCATGCCTGCTAACAGTAGTAATTATATATCATCTTTTCAAGCGGTCGAAAGCGGCGGAAGCAATTCAAATCGAAAACCAGAACAGGAATAAAATTGACAAAAGCGTGAGTTTTTCTCATAGATCTAGAAGGCAGTACAGCAACAGCACCATAATAGGCAGAATTCCCCTGTAATTTTTAGTTCATTAATGACTCATGACGGACTTCACAGCTTTACATTCTTTTGGGGAGTGAGTTTAGTGCTCATTGCGTCCTGTTGTTGATTTCTGCAGGTTTTCTTTTTCAGAAAATCATTGCGTAGTCAAAGAACTTTTTGTATAGCATTGAAGCAATCGCCGTTTTGTGAATGCTGTGTGAAAACAAAACCGCGAGACAGTGCAGAACTTTGAACAGAGAAGCAAACATTCAGAAGCATATGTTGTCTGCCATCTGAACGTCATTCGTCGCCTTGAATTTTATACTTAGCCAGGAAGGGTACTAGATAATACCGTGCCTGTGGGTCGGTAACGCTCTAGAATTCGGATGGACAGTTGGATCGGAACACATGGGCAAACCGACTGAAATAAGGACGCCAAGATTCCAAGGCATTTATTAGTGAACAGTACCACAAAACTACTCTCAGATAGTCGAAATAAGATATTCAACGCGAGTTTATACAAATCGCCGCGAAAACAAGGTGTCACTTGGAGAGAATCACTTCCTGTACGCTGTCCATTGTTGATATGAATCACAGAACAGTGGTGCTGCGGCCGCTATGTATGTTTTCCTCGTTAGTCCAACAGATTCCTTATAGCCAACAAGTTACTACCAAACTACGTGCTTTGCTGAATATTCTTTTATTATGGTTGAGTAGAGTGCTGAGTGGGGCCAGTGGAGGTTAGTCGGTTCACAGGTAAGAGTGACGGCATGAGTGTGTCGTTATTCGCCTTCGTACTGGGTAACTGTGTGGAGCTAATCTGGAGTAATGGAATTTGAATGAGACGTCTTCCTCTCTAATGCTGTTTCCGACGTTTGAAGCATACTAGTGTTCAGCTACTCGATGAGATGAGGGTTGAGATGAACGTGAAGGATGGAGATTATGAAAGGCGTACATACTCGGGTTGAATTTGAAACAAGCAGCTACTCCACTATGGATTTACTCGAGTTACGGTATCGTGAGGGAGCTGCACAAGCCTACAAAATGAAATACAAGCTTCTGTAAAGCAGGAAAGAGAATGGGAGGTTGTCGATTGCCCCCAGATTACAATGTGCGACTTTCAATAAAATGTTCGTTTAGATCACTTAGATTCATTCGCCGCTATTCTATTAGTAACAGACCTAAGAACAGTAACATTTTGCGGAGCTATTGCCAGTTTGGAGTTACTGGAGTTACTCAGTGCCCTGATCACGAGAATGACATTCGTTTACAGACCAGAATGGTGCCGACGCTTTCTCATCCCGCGGTATTTTCTTTCTTTGGCAAATGGGTGCAATGGCGTTACCGCTTTTTTTCCAGAAAACGATGCAAGCTTCTTTAGGGGAGGATATTCGACAGCCGACATTCGGCGCGGTAACGTAGACACTCCTATTGTTTGCGCTTTCTCAAGGCAGCATTCGCTTCGTCAAGCAAGCTAGGCCTTAAAGAGCTGCTAAAGGGCGCTGAAGTGAATACACTCGTGACCAGTGTCCTCATTCGACCCCAAATCCTAACAATCTGTTGGAAGTGGTGGCGTCAATTTGGCGCTGACACTATTCCAGCGCCAAATGGTGTCGAAACCAGAAATGGATGTTCAATTTAGCCAGATGCGAAGCAAACCTAGCATGCAAGTTGATACAGGTTTTGAAGGAGAGAAGTTCTCGTGTCCTGTTCACACCGCTCCGCGTGACTACTTCGGTTTCCAGGCAAATCGAGTGTCAATACTAATACTACTTGTGTCAGCCTTAATTGGTGTCGTGCCGGGATGTTTAAATGGTGTGGGAACCGTCGTCAGTCTTCCAGTAAGTGTCTTCACACTAGCCGAATTAGTCTAGTTGGTTCATACGCAGGTACAAATGTAGAAAACTAGCTATCGTTGAGCATCTGGTGATAATTAATTAGTAAAAGGATTCGTTTGATGAAGAATTTCGATGTGAGAAGTACGCATTGTACAATCTATATCCTCCCCTCCTCAATTCATGCATGGTTTCAGATACTCGATGAGGTGTCATTTTTCGTTGGGACTTGCGCCACGCTATCTGGACTATCTCATGCGTTTATTTTCGCAATGGCGCACCGAGAAATCAAATACCACATTTGGACAAAAATTTTCTGTCAAGATATTCGTTATTCCAGTCATCTCGAGATAAACAGCGTGGCTGTGAGTTTTCTTATTAGTGGTAAAGAGAACATTTGCATTCTGGATGACCTCTGCCTAATGGGAAAAGCTACCTCTGGTATGGGGTCCAATTACAGTCGCTCTTCACACAGCTGTCCATGTGCTTAGGTATTGAGAGAACTATTGATGGGGGAAGCATTACAAGATAATCCTATTTTGAAAGGACAAAAGAGTTTTACGAAAAAAAGGAATTTCTGTAATCTCTCTGTTGATTTCCTTGAATCACTTTTCTCCTCTCACATGATCGTGCTTGCAGAAGAAAGCTAGTTCTTGGCCTTTCAAGTCGTTGATTCCAGAATGCTTTGTTGCATGTTGTAGAGGTTTATGCAGGTACCACAAAAGTGTATTTCGTTCTCCCTGCGCGCTCTCAGGTGTACCAAGAAGGAGTGAAAAACATTCTTCGAGTTCACGACGAATTCGATTGTAGAAAGCTCGTCTGTTTCCCGGGCAGGATGCGGGTATTTTTGAACTCTTTTCAAATCCACGCTTCCCTTCCCTTCTTCCCTCCATTATCTCCCGCAACATGCCGAACTGGTTAGAAAATAGGCTCTAGGACCCAAACTACGTTGCTTGTTTTGGTCACCTTTACTGTCAAGGTGGGAAGGGTGGGTTGAAGTGACCATCTGAAGTGGGATTTACTCTAACGTGTCTTAATACAGAAGATACAAATCCATCTTTTTCTATCAGCTGCGTCCTCTATGAATAAGGTTACAAGATTTTTTTCAGTAGGGCATACTCACACTTAATACGAATGTCGAGCGCAAGGCTGTCTGGGACGTGGCGATGTAAATAGATGAATGGTTGCGTGAGTGGGCCGCTTCTCCAGGTTCGAGGGTTCATACTCTTGACGCTTCTGCTTTCCTTTATTTTTCCAACAGTGTCTTCTGCGCGCTTCATAAACATTTTGCATAATCCTCGTGCTCAGTACTACCACAAACTTCAGTCCAAGAAATGAGGACCTTCTGGATAGAGGACTTCCCGCGTCACAATAAGCTCACCCTCCAGTGACTGTCATCCTGAGAATTCGCGCGTAAAATGTCTTGACTTTTTGGACGACATTCCCGGAGTCGAACTTACACAAAGTTGTGCGAGGAAAGCGACTAGACGTGAGAGTGGTTTCCTTATAGAGATAGTATTGTGAGCGGCTTATAGAGAAAACGTTCATTCATCACTCACATAAATGGCTTCGAAAGATGTTCTATCCCAGAAGTGCTCCGGACCTGTTGGCAGTCTTAGTACGAGCAATAGCGGGGAAAGAGCTGAACGTCATAGACATTTCCCACGAAAGGCAATGCGTAATGACCTCCTCGTGTGCAAAAAACAACAGCACGATCCTCAGCAGATTATCAGTCATGCAGGTCAAATTAAAATCCTTCTACCGAATGCGTTCTAGTATGCGTTCCCTACGATTTTTAGGAAATTGTGGCATTGCAAATTTTAGTGCTCTGAAGGCTAAAAATTTTTTCTTCTCATCACTTCTTCTTTCAAAACTGTTTTCACAAACTGTAGAAGTTCGCAGGTAGTGGAAGAAAAATCCAATCAAAAAAATACTTGATAAATCTTTCGAAATGGCACCATTTCTTGAAACTCCTTGCGTTATCTAGCATCAGGAACAGGTTAGATTCAAAGTGCGCAGAAATTACTGAGTATTTCGAAAGGCCATACGCATCAGAACAGGACATTCACTCTTGTAGAGGCGATGCCGCACAGTTTACCGTTCATATACCGCTGTAGCGTGGCAGACAGCCTGATATCCTGAAGCCGTATTAACTCTGAGTATGCTTCGTCTGAAAATCCGTGACTTTCGCAAAGGTGTGCAGCAGAAATGAAAGACGGATTCGTAAAAACAGCACACGATATAAAAAGCAAAGCAGCCTCCCTTTTTGAGTATTTACGGTAATGGTCAGCGAACTTTCAGTGTGTCCTTCAATTAACTTCACCGATGTATGCAGGTTACAGCTAACTATCACGAACCACTGGGTTTACAGCAGTGGTGCGAAAAGAATCTGCTACATGGCTAATTTAGATCACTTTGAAGATCCTGACCTTTCACGAATACAAACATTTCAGCGTACTGCCACGTCCCTTCGTATTGCAAGTGTTCCGATGAACAATGCGACAACAAAGCAAATGTGATATCACTGAACATCTGAAATTCTTTGTTCTGTAGTTTTTTGCGCACTTCATTCAGATGGCTCTTTAGAAGTGTAGTTCAAGGGATCTGAGTCGCGATATCGCAGGCAAACTACGCAGAGTACTCAATGAGTAGTTGACTTGATACACTGCAGCAACCACGACATTAGGGTCCTGGTTCGAATACACGTACGTAAGACTATTTCTACGTACCGGCCCCCGCCGAAACTTGGATCCGTTGAACTACATCCCCTCATTATCAATGAAAATTTGCACCACTTGAAGTCAAACATCGCGCACGATAATACAGAGTAGTTTTACGATTAGTGAATGAATCTTCAAGCTTACAGTCACTCTCCATAATAATGTATGCCATTTTGTGCTCGAGGCGGCGGTGGTGTGGCGACAAGTGGCGCGCTCACCACCCGATCTTTTGTTCAAATCCAGGTCGAC